ACCGCCCAAGCCTTAAAACTAAGATTAAACGCCTCCACGGAGAGGCTATTCTTGGGTCGGTGAATTTATTCACCATACTTAGGAAGTCCTTGCACGTCCACCTGTGCTCTTTCACTTTTTTGAAAAGGTGCCGTGACTATCAAATGGTGCCAAAATTCCTCCGCTTGAGGAACCCTGTTCCCTCGAGGCAGGCAAATGCCATCCTCTGCCAGGCTTCACCGAGACTGGTCAAGGAGAGAATTGCAGCGGCCAACAAGAACCTGGCCAATCTCTCCAGACGGCTTCTCGATCTTCACATTCTTCTGACTCAGACGTTAGATTCTCAGCTGTGGGATACTCTTGATCGTGTTACACATGAACAAGCAGTCCGAACAGCCGAGATGAGGACCAAGAATCAGAAGAGTAAGTTCAAGAAGCTGCTCCCTCCGGAAAAAGTCCCGACCCTCACCCACACTGTGAAGAATCTGAGCAAATATGAGCATAGTGAAGCACAAGTGTCCGCGTTGGCGAAAGGACACAACTTCGCTGTTGCCTTCAAAAAGGTCCCTACTGAGGAAATTATTAATCGCATCGAAACAGCGATCCAGCATCTTCCTCAGGAGATCAGTAATGAAATCCGGAGACAGTTGTCCAACGTTCTCCACAAGGCTACTCCCCCTAGTGACAATATTACTAGGGAGGAACGTCTTGTACTGCGTAGTCTAAAGGAGAATAATTATCTCATTATTCTTCGGACAGACAATGGCAATCTCACGGTGGTTATGGAGAAGGACGACTACTCCGGAAAGCTCTGGGCGATGTTGGGTGACTCCAGAGTTTACACAAAGCTCAGGAAAGATCTTACTCGTACTATTGAGCGCCAAACTACTGATCTCCTGAAGAAGGCTGCACTCTCAGCGGATTTGACAAAATTCCTCACTCCCACAGAATCCTTCCCTCCTAGACTCTATGGACTTCGCAAAATCCATAAAGAATCTATTCCTCTCCGGCCCATGATCAGCAACATTGGAGCGCCAACTTACTAGCTGGCCAAGTTTCTCACGAAATCACGCCAAAAGTTGACTGGCCTGAATGGTTCATACATACAGAACTCGCTAAATTTCGACAACAAACTGAAGAATCTCAGGACTTCTCCAGATGACATCCTAGGGAGTTCTGATGTAGAATCACTCTTCACTAATGTCCCAATCCTAGAAACCTTGGTAATAATCAAGGAGTCCGACGACATCTCTCCCCAATTCCTCCCCTTGATTGAGCACTGCTTGACCTCCACATACTTCCAGTTCGAAGGAGAGTTCTATCAGCTAAAATCGGCAGCAGCAATGGGTGCTCCCATCTTCCCGATCATTGCAAATATATTCATGGAACACTTCGAGAATGAAGCTTTGATGTCAGCAGCGCATAAAGCTGCTGTGTGGTTCAGGTATATGGACGATGCCTTTGTCATCTGGCCACATAGGCCAGGGACTGGTCTAAACCAATTCCTGGAGTTCTTGAACACTCAGCACCCGAGCATCAAGTTCTCCATGAAAATTGAGCAGAACGGTTACCTCCCATTTCTGGATGTCCTGGTTCGTCGCAATGAGGATGGCACTCTGTGTCATCAAATATATCGCAAGCCGACACACACAGACAGGTACCTCAATGCTGCCTCCCATCTCCACCCCTCCCAGAAGAACACTGTAATTAGCTCCCTAATGTACAGAACGGTTACAATCTGCCAACCCTCCAACGTCAGAAGCGAAGTTAAATATGTGGAGACAGCTCTGACCGAGAATCGATATAACATCCAACAAATTCGAAAGGTCAAGCGTAAGCTACAGAGCAAGCTCTCATCTCCTCAAGAGGAGATTAATCCTGAAGAAAATAGGGAGAAAATTAAAATGGCCTTCCTCCCCTACCTGGGAGGCACCACTGAACGCATCCGCAGAATACTCGGCAAACACAACATCCGAACAATCTTCCAACCCCCAAAGAAGATTGGATAGATGCTGCCGAGTGCGAAAGATCGCAGACCGCCTCTGAGTATACCAGGAGTGTATGAGATCCCCTGCTCATGCGGAAAAGTGTACATTGGTGAAACCGGGAGGAAGATCAGTACACGGATCACGGAACATCAACGGTGTTTCAAATACGGTCATTTACAACAGTCTGCACTTGCTGAACATTGGATGGACATTGGATATAGGATCGAGTACGATCAAGCCAGGATGTTAGCCAAGTCTCAAGGATATTTCGAAAGGAAATACCGAAAAGGCTTGGAGATCTACAAAAACCCTAACAACCTCAACAGGGACAGAGAATATCTAGTGAACCCTATTTGGAAAACCGTCCTCCCGGTTTTTTAATTGATCAGCTGATCAATTAAAACATATGATTGGCTGACCCCCCCCTCCTTTTCCCTACCCCCACCATCACAGTGGAAGGCATAAAAGGACTACCCTCACACATCGGAGCTCAGAATCGGAGCTCACCGCCCTGAAGATGCAGACTGCAATGTTTGCGAAACGTCGGCGCAATGCTAAAACCAAATGCGGCATTCATCAGGAAGCCAATAATGTCATTAATCACGACCGCAAAAGCCTTAAAACTATGGTATGTCACTTCCCAATTAATTAATGGTAACTTGGCTTATTAACTTAACCTAACTCAGAAATTGAATATTTTTTAATATTAACGTGCTACCACGAGATTAAGTTTAACGTACTGCAACGATCATATCCAGATCCGAAGTGTTGTGATCATGGCGGCTTTCTGGTGCCCTAGGTCCGGGTCCTTCCCATGAAATTCCCCCAATTTGCCCCGATCAATGAAAGAATTCCTCGTTGACATGATTTCCTTATATGGACATGCCTTCCGTTGATTGTGGTATGAATTGGGCAATGGATCTGACTATCAAGCCGCCAATGTCAGGGTCAATCTTTAATCCCCTCTAGACCCTGGTTCTCGTCACTGATTGGTTGGATACTTGGCCCAAGCCCCGTCAATCTCAGAGTCAAGAATTAATTAGAGGTTGGGTCAACTCGTCAGGATCCATAGTTATTGATCTCCCTGGGTCAACTCTGCATGAGTTATAGTTATCAAGGTGTCTCCGGTCGTTGAAATTTTGTTGATATCCAGGTGTTTTTACTAATTATATATGGGGATTTTCCCATCAGGCAAAACCCAGTTATTATATCCAATTGTTTCTGGACCCTCAGACGACTGGGTCTGATAACTCCATGTATTTTGGCATCGGTGGCTATCGGGTCAACATAACCTCCAACTGTCAACGGGATTCCGCATGATGTTGATAAGTTTCTTTTAATATCTTGTCAGCGTGATATTGACCAATCCCCCTATCCTGTTTTTGTTACTTTAGGATAATTATTTGAGTTCGGGTGATACTTCTTTTCCGCACCGGATGATTGCATTGTTCCATCCAGTATCCTACCCAGTTCTATCGATCTCTTGAACTCGATCCTGCTCCATTCATATCAATGCATCCTTCCTCACAGGCGAGAGGTTGATTCGGTAATTGGGGTCGTCCGTCTTCTGCTGCTGCTGGTGATTGTAGAGTTATTTGAGTCTCCAGTCCGTATTTCTTACATTTAATCGTATACAGTTTCAGTACTTCGCGTAGGAAGGAGAAAGGTAAAGTATTCTCATTGAACTACGTTATATCCGGTGAAAATTCTTGTTTGCTCATTTTAATTTTGAGTGGTTTTATAAGATGAAGGCTAGAATTCGTCACAACGTTTATGGATAATATTTTTTTTGTCTGGGGAATTAAATCTTTTGTGCTTTCGTCTAGTGATTATTTTATGTATCTCTATCCCAACAATCCTGGAGAGTACGGCTTCAGAGAGGAAATCACAGTTGATAGTACTTATCTGGTCGAATAACCGCCTTGATATTCCATTTAATTTTTGAGTTTAATCTTGGATTTGTTTTGAATCAAGCGCTTACGGATTGCCGAGTATGCGTGCTTACTATTATTATTACTTCTTTCCTCTGCGCCCAGTGCTGGACAGTTGCTACGTCATAGCCTGTGATGTCTCCCTACATGTCATCACGTGACGAGTATAGTATTCTCGTTCTATCTGACGCAGTAGGCTTTTGTTGTTTTTCCATTTTACAACTGTTGGAAACCTATAAATTCGGGAGTTTTTCGTGTTAAAGTAGACAGTCGTTCAGTAGACAGTCAGTCTTCAGTCGTTGCAGTTCGCTGCCAGTTCGTGGGGAGTCCTCAATCGATGGCTAACCCTCGTACTCATACCTTGCCTCTGGCCAATGCTTATAGTGAGCCTACCGTTGCATCTAGTCTGATGCTTTCCCTTATGAGACTTATCTCGTGTTGAGTAATTAATTCGTTTCCCTGCCGTGTTGCGCCTACGATCATTGTTTTTTTTTTTGTATTCAATGGGTTTTTACGATTCGCGTATCGTTAAAGCACTTGTGCATCCTTTTCGGAAATTATGAGCAGCGTGAGCTATCTTTCACCTTCTTCTTGGCCTTCTAGTTTTAAGTTTTCTGTGTTTTGCGTTTTGGTTCCTCGTTGGGGTTTCTGCTTCGAAGTAATTTTTCAGTTTGTTGTTTCCGTCGAGACAGAGAGCAACTATGGCCCAACCATCAAGTTATCTTTAGTTTCTAACTTCACCAAGGGAAAAGGGCTAGTTAACGTCCATTTTCGTCGCAGCAAAAATTGGCCGCGTGACAAATATTTTAGATTGATTTTTAAAAAATTTCCAATACGATTTTCTCTACGAACATCTCTAAAAAATTTATACAAAAATCTGTAAAAAAATTTCACCATGATTTTAAGGAAGATAATGCAATTGAATAGGATAATAATATGAAAGGACAAACTATGAGAAGATCATCTGCGAGATATCCATTCGTGAGCATATTCATAATTGATTAGCAGAAATAACTATACTCTGATAAAGAATAAAGCAATTACTTACATTGTTCATTAAAACTTCATCATTTATTAAAAATTGTTTTTCATTAAATTTTAGGGGAAGCATATTTATAAAAAGGCATCAGCCCATGGAAAGCGTGTTCAATGTAACATGGCAGCTAAAAATCACTGTATAGTAATGTCCGATGCGAATAAGAACAAGACAATCTCTCAGATTGTTGGAGCAGCATTTGGAGCTGCAGGTCAACGCTGTATGGCTCTCTCAGTTGCAATTTTCGTGGGGAAATCGAAGGAATGGATTCCTGAGATGGTCGAAGCAGCTAGAATGCTCAAGGTCGACGCTGGGCACGTTCCACATGCCGATTTGGGTCCAGTGATTTCTCCGGAATCCAAACAGAGAATTCTGGACCTTGTCGAGTCTGGAATTAAGGATGGTGCTAAAATTGATCTGGATGGACGTGGACTTGTTGTACCAGGCTATGAAAATGGAAATTTTGTTGGACCTACTGTTTTATCTGGAATTCAGGTGATTCAACTAGTTTAATTAACACTCCGTTGTTGTCCATACGCTAGATATCATTCATAATAAATTTTGAAAGAGACGTAATCTCGATTTTAGTGGTGGGATGCACGAGCATAACTGAGGGTTTGGATAGAGTGGCACTATAAGGCTGAGGTTCCTCCTTTGACAAGAAGCACTTTCGTGTCTATTTCGAGGGTTACGAGTGCAGTCGATATTTCTTGTTTTCGGGTGCGTAGAATCTAAAGTTGAAGGTCGTTTTGCCGAAAATCGATGCAAACCAAATTATCAACAAATCAGTTGTTGAAATCAAGTTTTCCCGAAAACTACCTAATATAGGAAAAAATAGTCACAATGAAAAATATTCCGCTTGTGGAATTGAACATGAACGCTTTTATGCAGTTATTTCCTATTCCAATTATTTTCGAAAATTTTGAGGGTTAAATAAATCATCTAGTTTGATGACATATGGCATGGGGGGCTATGCGAGGACGAATTTCAGCGTGAAATTTGGCATTCACATATCTCGTAAAATAATATAAATAGAAAAAAATTCTTTTTCGCGAATATTTTTAATTTGTCTGTGACGAGGCAGATTTAGTCAATATTTAATTCTCGTCGTTGTTTATTTATTTAAATTTCAAGATTATTATCGGAGTCTCCTTATGACTCAATACGCTTGAGCGTAAAAATACAGGTCTTCCATTTGTCACGAAGGAAAATCCGGAGATTATTTTCCTCGCTCAATTGTTATGTATGAAAATTGAATGGGCCTCTGATGGTCCTGCGGCTTAAAAGCAGAACATAGGTTGCGTGTTGCGACAACGTATGACAAATTCCCAAAATATGACCGTAAATGAACCAGATAATGTCTCCCATGGAACCTGGTTCGGAGGACTATCCCCAAACTCAGTGGTTAAGAACCCCTCAATTATGGTTTACTGCCATTTACGACAACGAGTGGAGTCTCTTGTGACTCAAGGAAGCTGATTACGTGTACTATTCGATTGTGAAAAGGTACAAAATCTGTCTCCTCAGAACTTTTACATTCACCAAGAAATAACTAACTGTTTAATTATCTGTCCAAGCCTCAAATCGTCTCTCCACATTCAATGGATTTACTCAATTGCGAATTCCCGGTCCAAAGAATGAAACCCCAAAAGAATATCAATAATAGAAAGATACTTTCCTGAGAAATCTTCGCCTTCCGGATGCACGCAGTGCAATGCACACCCTTACCTATGTGTGGTCAGGTGTGCTCGTGCTATATTCAACTTAATTACTTCATTTTGTGGGGGAGGGAATAGTTCAGTGAAATTAATAGAGTAAATGATTCGAATAACCAAAAGAATACTGTATTCTATAAACGGATAAGAAATGAATAAAGAAAATCAATATCGATCTAAAAGAAGTGGGTCGTCACCCAAACTAATAACTAAAATAACAATAATGAAAACCAAAAAATACTTTTGTTCACTCTCAAAACTCTAAGAGTAAGGTGAATGCAAATGCTTTCCGCACAGCAACGGAGAGGCTCGGTTATTATTTTATTAATAGGTTCACGGATGGCAAATGTACGCAACGCCGGTCGTGAGACCCCACGTGGGCTTTCACAAGGCCTCTTGCTCGCGATACTGAACGAGATATATTTTTCCTCTTCTTCGCAACCCCAGAGAATAAAACAAAAATGAGCCGAGGATAATGATAATAATATTTAACAATCCTAGTACTTTCTAATACCACAATTCCCCTCCGTAACTAACTTCCTACTTTCCCAGAGTCCGATCAGAATATTTATAAAGCCCCTCGGGATACACCAGTATTACGGAAAACTATTTAAACGAATTAAGATGGCGGATCGACGCTTCCCCTCCGAGAGGTACCGATAGGCCCCCAGCTTCCGTAGCATTAACCCCAGCAATCTCCCAGAATTATGCACGACGACTCGACAGACTAGTTATCTCAATAATACGCGAGCCATACCAAAGGATTGATAAATATAATTTTTGTGCACTCACAACGACGTTGAGCCCTGGCCCACCAGTTGATCCGACACGTGGTGCAGTTCGATGTCCTCCCGGCGGCCGTACGACTTCCCACAATATTCCACCTCGTACCTGCGGATCTCCCAAATTTTATTCTTCGGAATTTCGCCTCAAAGTATCTACACGATATGATGTATGGATACGTCCTTGACCTGCCACAATATCACGTGAGACACAGAAATAAGACCCACACAAGATTAAGGCACGTGATAATGGCGATGGTTGAGAACGAAGTGAAGTTCTCGGCTGCTTTTCTACAATCAGGGAATTCCGTTGCGGTTGACTCCCCCAGTGGCACCGTCACGAGGCCTTGACATTCTCTGAGGCTGGGAGATTCTCCAGGTGCAAAGTTCTTCTTCAGCCGTAGAACCCAGTCCCTCGGCGGTCGAGATTTGTGGGCCAGGCCCTCCAGGTGCTCTGCGGCCTAATAATCAAACCTAACCTCTACCTGACACTGGTGCATCCCGAATCCACCCCAGCAAGACGATTATCTCTTTGCTCAGGTATTTATCCGTAACATCCCCAGCACGCCCAATCGATATTAAAAACGACCCTCGTCGTCGCATGACAATATGAAACTTTTTTATTTCAATTATTTTCTACCGTGGATCGTTTTTGAGTAAAGTCGGTTCCAATAATAGAATTGTCAATAAATTTATTTTGATACGTTTGTTGGCAAAACGGCTTTCAAATTCGGATTCTACGCACTAAAACACAAAAAACTTGCAAGTCGACCGATAACCGTAAAAATTATATTAAAATGATACTAAAACGTTGCATAGCAAAATTTAAATAACAATCAGTGGGTACAATCTAATGAAACTAATAAAAATTAAGAGCCTTTTGACTACCTGCCGTACATTGCGAAATGTCCCCATATTCTCCGGAGGATCAGTAATTTTTGCGGAGATCTTTCACTATATTTCCATGAAAATTTCTCCGTATGGTTCAGAAAACCCGCAATGAATGCAAAAAAATCGAAACAAACTCATTATTCTAGTGTTTTATATTCGCTGGAATACCACATTCAATTTTTGAATTCCCTAGAGTTGTAAATTCTAGGAATCTGACCCCTACAGGATGATATTTGCGAATAAATACTACACGCCGAGGTTTTCTTTATGTAGTTAATTAAATGTTTTTAGGAAGAATTGTAGTTGACATAAATGACACTTACACAACACTTTTAGTCAAAACTTCAAATATATTTTACAAGAACGATAAGTTACAATGCACATACAGATAATGAGGAATGGAAAGATCTCCGTTGAGATGTTTCTTCTATAAGAGTCGCGTTAATACTGCTTGATGAAAATTCATTTTGGAGATAAGTTGTAGAAAGGTAGTCGGAACGGATGAAAAATTGTGGAAGGAGAAATGGATATCTGAGGTTGCAAATGATTGGAGGAAAATCATTAAGATGGGAGGGATTATATCCTGATGGAGTGAAATACTCAGTGGGTCATAAAGGGGCATGGAGAGGGATACTTCTGGCGTCTGTTGGGCCTATTCCCCAATTAAAAATGTCTCGAAAGGTATATTTGAGGATTGAGTGCAATAATTGAGAAGAAAAGGAATTTTTGTACTAAGACGAAAGGTGATTATTGCACTAGACAATATGATGATTTAGGAAAGGAATCTATAAAGTAATTTTACGCGCAGAGTTTACCTTCAATAAAAGGGATTAGGACGGTGCTCTAGTGATTAAGGTAATGAAAAGGTGCTTTATGAGTGCAGAGAATTGAGGATTATTTTAATAAAACGATTCAAATTCTAAAGAGAAAATGTGCTGAAAGGACAAAATGAGCAGAATTCCGAAAATATTTGAAAGAATTCTATTGTTCTATTATACTCTAGACGATGCGACTGAAATTTTCAAGGTTTGAAAATGAATTTATTGGGGAATTTACTCGAGGTAAAAATTTAAATTGTTCTCAGAGAAAGTACGAAAAAAATACTCGATAATTAATTAATTTTGCGTGTTTGACACGCAACATCTAGTCAATTTTGAATAATGCATGATTAACCCATTCCACGACGAAGCGTTTTCCATGTTTCGCAATTTTGTAGTAGTGTGCGAGAACTACCATGCTTCTCTTATGGTGCACTACACCCCTGATGGCCCTTCACTTCTCTCACACATAGATGATCGTAGACGTTGGTCGTTCAATGGGTGAATGTGAGTCATTGGCGAGGCCGGTTTATGGCGCATCAGTGTAACCGACAACGATTAAATGATGTGCGATGTTGTGTCTGCTCTGATGTCACTTGAGTAAATAGCGCCAATTTCAAAATTTGGCGGAAAGGGCAATCCAACGAAGCCCAGTTATTATCCAATGAAATCTCTGCTATATCCTGGACTTGATGATTAATTATGACCAGGAAATCTTCAATTCAGACAAATTGAAGACTGGGTCCTTCGGGGAAGTACGTAAATCTATTCATCTACGTGTATTAACTTCATTGAAATTCAGAAAACTGATAATATCTTAAAAAAATGAGCGATATAAACCCCAAAAACGGTGTCGCAGGACTGACTAAAGATATACAAAAACTGCCCCTGGAAAGATTTTACATTCTCCTACTCGTCCCGAACTGTATATGCATTTTCCGTATCTTACAAACTAACTTAATTTTGGTGGGGAGTAGCTGAGCGACGATGTGATGTAGTCAACTGTCGCGAACTACCCCCACCTATTGTACGATATTAAACGCACGTAACCCTTGATGAGATCACTTTTCTCACAAGGAAAACAAAGGACACAAAAGGGGCCCGGTTCAAGATTTGTTATGGACTTTCTTGGAAAGTTTACATGTTAAGTTTTAGGATGCTTAAGGCAACGCTGAAAAATGAACAGGCGTTCAACATTCATCTGAAACACCAATCCAGTGTTTATTCTAGGCTGAGCTTATTCTGAATATTTACTACGACTGTTTATATTACTTTCTCTAAAGAGAAAG